GGGGCCCTGGGAAGGGGCGCGAGGCCGGAGGAAAACTCTGGGAAGTTGGGAGTTGGGGACGGCCCGGTGCTGCGACTGAACCCCGCTGGGCGCTCCTCGCCCTCGCGCCGAAGCGCCCATCTCCCTTCCTTGATCTGGGAGAGAAGGGCGGGCGGGGTCCGGCGTTGGGCCGGGGTCCCGGAGCCCCGGGTCCTGGGCAGTTGGGCCTGAACCCGTTCCCTGTGGGTCCCTTCGCGTGCAGGCGGCTCAGGCCTGCCGTCTGGCATGACCAGCTGCCATCGCTGGGCACACCTGGGCCGGTGGGCTCTCTGACCATGGCTTGTGCACCTGCAGATACTCCCAGTGAAAGTTGAGAAGCTCCTAACTTTGGAAAGTTCATTTATTTTGGCATTTGACCAATTAAGGTTGGAGGAGGGAGTTTGGGTGGAGCCTTTTGCTTTCCCCAAGGGCCCTGGGTCTCCCACGTCTGACTTACCCACTACAGGTTACTGGAAGACACATTCCTTATAAATATTTACTTGAGATTCTACTCATTTGGAGAAATTAGTTTTTGAATATTCTCCCAGTCTAAGTACTAAAAAAAAAAAGAGTGTATTGTGGTTGGATTGTTAAAGATGGGGTGANTGTCTCCCGCGCCCGCCTGCCCGGCGCTGTCCGAGGATGCGGGGGGGCGATGCCCGGGGCCAGGGACGCGCTCTGTCACCAGGCGCTGCAGCTGCTGGCCGAGCTCTGTGCCCGTGGGGCCCTGGAGCACGACAGCTGCCAGGATTTCATCTACCACCTGCGGGACCGCGCCAGACCCCGGCTCCGCGACCCAGGTGAGTGCCGCCTCTGACCTGCGCGGCCGCAGGGCCCTGGTCTGGGAGTTGGGGCCGCACCGGGGCCTGAGGCAGAAGAGCGGCGCGGACTGGAGGGAAGAGGCAGGGGGTGCCACCCAGCTAGGGAGGGGATCTGGAGCCGGCGCGCCCGGGCCTGACGCTGGAACCGGCGGGGACCCGGCGGAGGCTCCGCGCGGAGGCC